AATTAGACCGAAATCATCAAGGAACGGAATCAAACCACATTCAACTGGCTAAATCGAGCGTCGGCGGCATTCTGCGTGAGGCGTTGTTGGCTGTGCCCGGGTACAGCATTTGCGTACCGGGCACAGCCACGAGGACGTGGACCAGATTTTTGGTCGATTAGCAAGTCATTTAGCCCGGCACGCAAGAAGAGCCACTGGTCCGGCGGACTTCCGGGAGATCATTGAAAACTGGATGGTAACAAAGTTGGACAGACCCTACGAACCGCAAAGACATGCCGTCCTGCTTGACCAGTGCAGGGACTGGTGGCTTTTTTGAAAACAGGCAAACTTTTTTGGGTGCAGCGGCTGAAAGATTTGGTGTTACTGTTTTTTTCTTGTATCACAAGAGAGGTTCAAAGGACACAAAAGGTGCCACTTGAGTCACCTTGTGTGTTTATGTGTCCTTTTTATGTGTCCTTTGGTTTTGTCATGACGACCGCGCAAGGCGTGGATTCTTGGCAGCTGGAGTCCCAGTGGTGCTCAAAGGAATTGGAGGGCCACGGGCTCCGCATGTCTTTCAGTTCGACAGACGAGAGGGATTGAGTTACTTGTCACTTATTGGAGGGCCGTTTTCTTCCTTCGGCCGGTCAAGATGGAATCTTTGTATTTTCTGGTTTCATTTATTGCTGCCTTGCATTAGCTTTGGTAATCGGCCCGCCACATTTATTGCGCAAACACACATAAAACAAGGATTCATTGTCAGATTTCGAGGCCCAACCAAAGCGGGCAGTAATTACAAGTGGTCTTTTTATAAAGGTCGAACCCACTACACAAGCCAGCGCAGGCTTGTCTGATGCCGAAGCTCATGACCCATACTGGCGATTACCTCCGAACCCGAAGGATGTCATCATTCGGACCCTAGCTGTGAAACTGCAAAAATACGTTTTCAAGCCTTTGGCTTCGGAATAAGTTATGTTGACGCTAAAAGGACTACAAATTCTTCTTTGAACAATACATTCAAGACGTGCTTTTTGTCAGGACCAAGCACAATATGGAAGACGCGCACTACTTGTATTCTGCTGTCTATTTCCCTTTTGCTGTAGCGCAAGTCCGGTTGCCATTGGGATTGCCGGCAGGCGTTGTTTTTTTACATTTCACGTCGAGACTAAATTGGAAACGACCAACAAAGGGTGAGGTAGGTTCAGCTGTGTGGTGCTTGTGGGTTTTGGGTTGTCAAATATGAGAAGCATTGGTTCCAACCAAGAGAGGCTGTGAGTCAGAGCTCTCAAATGTTGGAGTGTGGGGCTTGACAGGTGTTGCTGAGCGGAACCCGATTGCCGCAGACTTTGCTGACAAGATTTTGAGGCATCTCCCGATTTTGAGAGAAAACCCTTACAACTTGCACGCAGCCGCTGACCACCTGGAGTCGTGGGTTTTGGGCTCCTTGCCACGAGCACCTTTGCTAGATGTCACGGGGTGCCTTGCCTTGAGATTGAGATAGATTCAGTAGTTTGCTTTGCTTTGGGTTCGCGATGTATGTGGAAATTCTTCACGTCAAATGTGAAACGGCTTTGGGGAACTCTTATGATTCCTGTTTCGTGGTGTTCAACATGCTTCGGGGTCTTTTTGTGCAAAGAAAGGCCTAGAGGTCAAATCTGAAGAAGACAACAACAGACCTCCAAATAGTCTATTTTGTATGAATGTTCTGGCCTCTCAACCTCTCTTGGTAGGTGTGCGCTGTTGGGATCACGCTCTGGCCCCGCTGGTGTGCCACTCCCGCAGAACTTAGAGCCTGTGCCCAATGTGATTCGGATCCTTTGCGGACAACAGGAAACTTTACGTGTTGTTTTGACGAAAGCGTTTTGTCTATCTATTTTTCCAATTTTTGGTGTCTGACTGTGATCTGGCCTCTTTCAACTTATACTGAGGATGGGTGCAATGACTGCAGATGACCGGCGAAGCGCGACCCATTATGTTGGCCGAGCAAAACGCCGTGTGGCTCTCACTGCAGCTGCCCAAGCCTGGGCAGCAGGTGTCCCATGGGCGGAGGCGCTCAGAATTTGCAAAAGGGCAGTGAGCAGAGCCTCGCCAAAGGCGAAGGCTTTGCCTAAAAGAAGAGCTCGGAGGTGATATCCCAGGATCATTCAACGAGTTTATGTACTTTTTTGGTAGCTGTTTGGTCCATTTTGATCTCTTCCAATGCCACTGACTGCAATATTAGGTTCCCCGTGTTCAAGTGTTCAGAAGCGACCAAAAACAGCATGGAAATTTAGGTGCGGCAATGTAATTCAGGGGGGCCCTCCCCCAGGTATTCAGTTCAGAAGGTTATCATCCGATCACTGTCGCCTCCTGCAGGTGTCTGATCCAAGGTCGGATTAGACACACCTCACCGCTTTTCAGATTCAGTTCGCTGTTTGCGCAAAAAAGAACAATGTCAGACTCAGTCAGATGGTGATGACGGTGTCGGACGCAATTGGTTTTGACAAGCAGTGCCACGACAGTTGGTGTCGGATTTGATCAAGTTCCGACGCAACCGTTTTCGACAAGGGGCACTGCGCATAGAACAGTTCGATCGGAATCCGACACAAAAGGTTTTGACGCACGGTGCCACCCAAAAAACAATTGGTGTCGGATTTGATCAGGATCCGACGGAAATGGTTTTCATGAGGATTGGGGATCACACAGAACCCAAAGTGGGGCTCGAGGTCGGGTCGGGTGCAGTTCAATTTGAACACGTGAATCCGACACAAACAGTGGCCTGTGAGTGGAGCGCAATTAGTGTCGGATCCAAGGTCGGATTCGACACAAATCCATGTTGGTGTTTTTATTCAGCTTGGTGCAGCAATTGCTCAGGGTGAGCAAGGTTGTTCAAACTAGGGCTTTGGTGGCTAATCTGACCTCGGATTCGACACTAATAGAGAGGTTTGCTAACTGCTTAGTTTGTGTCGAATTTCGCTGTTCTTTTTTTTCTCCAGGCTACCTCACCACCACTTTCAATTTTCAAAGCAATCCAAGGCCAGGCTTTTGGATATGGAGCCCCGGCCTCATGGCCCAAATGCTGCTTCAATGATTTGCAAGCTTTACTTTGTTTGTGGCCGTTGGTGCCAAACACGCTATGACCAGCACTGAGGTTTGTCCTTTATTTGTGAACTCAGGGCTTGGACGCTTTCAGTTGTGGACTGCTCAGTCAGGGTTTGCCTTCCCTGGTCTTCCTGCGTCACTGTTATTTGGTGATCCGCTTGGAAATTGAAAGGGTTTCAAAGACTTTTGCCGAAACATTAGCTAGCTTTTGGTGCTCAAGCAGCTCCCACCCAAATCGATGGCAGTGCCGGGTCCCGAGACCAAGACGATGGAGTACAAGTTGAAGCATCCATCGCCCCAACCTGACCTGGACACATCAAAGTCGTACCTGCAAGACCCTCAAGATCCCCGATCACAGGAGTCGTGGCCGTGCTATCAGGAGCATCTCCCAACCGTCAAGGGAGGCAATGGATATGGATCTTGGGTGCATTGTGGAGTGTGTGGGTTGCGATTGTCCTTCACCCCTCGCAAAGGGGCAACTGCGAAGCACCTGCGAAGCGCATGCCCGAGCGTTGTGACCAAAGCTTTCTCGCTGCTTTACAAAGATCTTAGAGGTGCAAAACCACATCATGAGTTGTCGAAGGCGGCTCTTGCGAAGGCTGAGGCTGACATGGTCTATGATCAGTTGCTGGGCAGGCGTCATGAAGGGGGGGAATCCAATCAACACGAACCCCAACACGGCAGCATGGCGGCCTCCACATCGTTCAGAGGCAGAGCTGATTGCCCCACCTGACCCCGTGGTAACGCGGGAGAAAATCTCCAGGGCCCTGGCTTTGATGGGGGTGATGACTGGAGAAGAGATCGCGAAGATGGAGAGCAGGATCGAGGATCAGGAATGGCAACGTGTCTCTGAGGACTAGAAAGTAGACTGACAGTGTCACTTTCATTATATATAGTACAGTCCCTGACTCAGCCCTCGGTGGAAGGAAAAACACGTTTGTTAACAGACTTCATGTGGGCTTTTGCGTCGACTGGTCAACAGGTCTCGCCAGAATGTTCGCCCTGAGATGCAGTTGACCTTCCATCCGTGGTAACTCCTCTTTTTTTGCTTTATGGCCTGAGGTGGCTTAGCGAAGCGCGGGGCTCTGAGGGAACATGGGTCTTTAAGAAAGCTCGTTCTGTGCAGATGCAACCATAGTGCACAGCAACCGGAAAACATTTGAGTGCTCCTCGATGGCCAGGTGTTTCGTGTCATTGCGCAATTACTCGCGTTTGGCAGGTTGTCACAGGTGTCCTGTGTGGGTTGCCTCAGCCAGTTCTTTTTTCAGCCAAAGGTCGTGCTTTGCGCATGTCATGGGGAAACGTGTTTCCAATGGAGCAAAGGGGGCAGCGAAAAAAGCCAAGCCGTCAGACACCCTTACACAGTGGCCTCACATTGCTCGCATTGTGGACTGGTTCTTTGGATGAATTCTTTGTGTTTGCTTTTTAATTTGAATTGTTTGTGCTCACTGTGTGCCTGTGCGCCCAGGTTTACCAGCATCGTGGTCCCACAGGGGGGGCCTGACCGCTTCCTGATGCAAAAGTATGCGACTCAGGCACTGGAACGGCATTCATAGCGTCAATTCACTTTGTAGAAAGTGCATCGAACTTGAATGCCACACACACACAGAGCGCTCGCAATTGATTGGTTCTGACATTTTCAGCGGCGGCCCAGGGAACCCCCAGTTTTATATTGGCGTTTATTTTCGCAGGCTACCACTAAAACGCACCCGCAAATGTTAGACCGATGGGCAGGAAGATCAGTTGGCTTTTGCGCGTTGGATCGACGCCTCCTTTCCTGCAAGCAGCAGTGGGAGGCGGGACATGTTTCTTATCGCAAAGAACTCCACACTAATTGCTGAAGCCTGGCCAGGGTGCAGTACAGCGACGACCTATCCACTGGTCCTAAATATTTGCGCCCCTACCACCTCTCCTTCCGGACAGACTACGGTCTGCCTGGGATGTCAGATCCCTTCGATATGGTGACGTTGATGGAGTTGGTGCTCAGCCAAGGGTGACTGCATCGTGAGTTTTTCAGATTTTGTTGACGGTACAGTGTTTGTGTAAGAGCTATCCAGAGTCAATAACTGTACAGTTCGTTGATTGAGAGCATTTGTCTCGAATTCGCTCAAATCGCACGCTTTGTCAGACCACCGTCATTCAGTTTACCCGGGAGGTTTCGCACAGACCCCAATCATCCTGGCGTTGAGAAATTGAGCGTTGTGCTTCCGAGCGCGTCCTGGCTAGAGAGTCCGATGAGTTCTCTTCCACCTCTTGACGGCGAGTCCCTCAGGGCATGGTTGTTTTAATAAAACATGTTGCAATGTTGCAACCAACATTTTAAGTTGCAGCTGATTCCCGATCGATCCTTCAGGTGAGATTTTGGCCCCCTTCTCAGTGGGGTATGTGAAGGGGTGGAGGAGGAGCCTCGCGTGCCTCATTTGTTGCGATGCCATCCACACACTGGGAATTGACCTTGCAGATCTCACCCACGACTTTAAGGCGGGGCCATCTTTTCTGAACGCCAGATTTCCACTTGGACTGGGCTAAGTCGGCTAAGTCCATGTAGAATTTTGCAATAATTCTGATCAGTAAGGCTAGGCTTCACAAGGTGGCCACGGTTTTCATTGGGTGCCCAGATGCTTGTTGCTTTTTGCCCGGAGGAGTCTCTGAAAGTGGTGCATGCGTCAGTGACCCCCGTTGCAAGCGCAAAGGATGCTGTTTGGGCTGCGCGAGGAGCATTCGATTGTGTTCAGCGCTGCAAAAGGCAACAAACTTTGCTGTAAGAGATTTTGCGCACGTCGCCAAGCTCTCATTCTTCCCCTGTATGACAACTAGTCTTAAAGGGCCTAGGCTTGTCATCAAGTGCCAGTTTCTTGAACACTGACAGGAGTGACAATGAGCTCGGTTTCAACAAGGCGTGCTCCGAATGCGTTCAATTTCCTACGGCAACTGGAAATTCTTCAGAAGAGCGGGGAAACGAACGCGTTCCATGTGTTTGGGCATGCGCTTAACGATTGAGTGCGGGGGGGCGTGTTGTTTGCTTTTGTATGTTCAACGGGAAGCGCTTCATAAATCATTTAGCAGCAGCAGCAGCAGTGCCCAGGATTGGCAGGATGCCACATCGGTGGCCCGTGCATTCAACATTGGCCGGGCTGAGAGCCTGGCGGTGTCCAATTTACAAGAGCGAGTGAGTGACTGCGTGAAGCATGAGCTTCGAGAAGCTTGTCGCGTTCGAGGGATGCGCCAATTTTTGACACACGAAGCAGTCTCGCGTGACGTTTTCAACCGTGGTTGGAGCTCGGGGCAGTCCAACTTTGGAGCTTGGGGGGCAGAGCTCATGAACGACAGTGACGATGTTTTGGTTTCCTGGCCGCATTGAAAGTAAAGATAGCAAATTGTTTGACTCCCTGAGTTGGTTGTCTAACGCGTGTTCCAGGAGAGGTTGAGAGGGCATAATAAGCGACCAAGGGTGCTTTCGTCTTTTTAAAGTCCTTTCAACCTCTCCACTGGTTCAGCTGTGCAGGGTAAGCTTTTCATCCAGCGCTTGAAGGGCGACTGGGACCGGGCTCCAAGTGGGATGAAGAAGGCATGGTCCTACAAAGACGCGTTCAACCTCCACGCGTGTTGTGGAGGGTTCTTAGCAATTATGAATTCTCTGAAGCGTGAGATTCCTCAGAGCGACTACCTGACCGCAGAAGCCCAAATCAAGGAACAATTCAACCTTTCAATCCTCGATCCCGATATCACGCATTTCCTGGAGACGACGGTGCCACCGGTGTCATTGAACAATGTGAACTTTGTCAGGACGGTGGGTGGGCTAGTATGTCTCGCAGTGTGGGGGTCCGTCTTACAAAAATACGTGTGAACGCCAGCAGTTTGTATGTGTGCACCTGTGTATGTCCATCGATTTTGAACCCCCCATGAAAAGGTACTTTTAATTGGGGGTCAAAGGCTGCTGCAGTGTTTGTACGCATGCTTGGCTTGCATGTTGTATGTGTGTCAACGTACGTATGTCGTCTGTATGTTTGTATTACGAGTCAACCATTTCGCTGCAGTCCATGACAAACCAAATACTTTCGCACCGGCCACGAAAAAAGACCCGTAGTGCCCCCTCTAAGCCCATCCAAAACATCAATGTCAAACAGTTTGCCATGATTGTTCTTCTCAGTTTGCTTAGCCAGCAGGGGCACCGAATCGGTTGCTGTTTCGGGTTGCAATCAGTGTTTGACGCTGTGCCTGCCACAAACATCGGTGCTTTTCACGTCGGCAAATGCTTGCCATGGCATCTCGACCAAGTGCTGTACCTGCCACAAGCCCTGAAATTTACAGTTTGCGCGCGCTACCACGAAGTCTAAAGATGTTTATCCACAAAAATATTCTGCAGACGCCGTGGATTTTACACTTCTGAGTCTACCAAGTTCTGCTATTAAGATGTAATTCATTTTGGGCTGCCATGAACAAAAGTTTTCAGGGACAGTTTGTCCAGGCACTTGTTAATATGAATGCCTGCTGTTTCTGCACAACAACGAAAACAGGAGCACCGTGGCCACTGTGCAGAACCGTGAACGGGAAGCAATGGAGGAGAAACAAAAAGAGCTTGAATCGAAGGTGGACATGGCGACAGTGGAAAAAATCCGTCACCAGTTCGAACAAGACCTGAAAACCTTACGTGAACGGTGTCCAGGGCAAGTGCAGCTTGCGAAGGAGGCAGCGCTGGATGCGCAATATCTGGCTCAGAGACAATCGAAGCTTGTTCAAGATGGTGTAAGACTTTTTCAGGTTTCTTTTTGGGTGCTTTCAATGGAAGTCAAGCAACGCTTGAAGCCAGCTAAACCTTGCCCCTACATTTGAGGAAGGGACAGCAGCACACCAAAGAGTATATGCAGCAATGGTGCAAGCTGGTTTTCAATCCCGTGGACGGTGTCAAGCCGGCACTGCCTGACGTGGCAAAATTCATTTCCAACCTGTCCGCCAAGCTTGATGGCACTTCTGGCCGATTGTTTCTTGTTCTATACAATAGCTGCATTTTGTTCGATTTTTGGTTCTAACGCCTAGCAAGTAGCAAGTGATCATTGAGTGGCCTCAGACTGCGAGGTTTGTCATGGTTTCGTTTGACGCCTGCGTTTGGCCCAGCAATTCTGCTTTGGTGACGCAGGGCTTGCAGACTGCGATTTCGCTGTTGTCCATGAGCCAACGAAATGGCATGCATCTCCAGATGCCATTGTCCCAGGCCCAAACAAAAATTGAGCCTGTTCTCAAGCACAGAAGGTTGCTGGAAGATACGCTAGTGGCAGGTGGCATGGACATTTCCTGCTATGTCACCTTGAGCTTCGACAAAACGCAGTGCCACGCTGGCGACAAGCGTAAAGGCTCCCACCCCTGCTTGTTCGTGTCAGCCAGCAGCGAGAACAACGAGTGGTCTGAAAGCGCAGCTGCTCAAACCGGCTCCATTGGACCAGTCCCACTCATTCGGATGAACGAAATGATCGGATATGACCCGGACTTGAAATGGGGACCTGCGTTGCGAATTGAGCAGCGCCTTGACCTGCGTTTGTTTTTCCTTGCGCAAGCGATTTCCAATTAATTTCATGTGTTTTTGATGTGCAGTGGTTGGCCCCCTTGGCTGGCAAGTCCATTGTTTGAGGAAGGGGATCAAGGTTCACACAGAGATCGTGAATCAGTACTTGAAGGGCATGGATTTCAACGATGAAGATGTAGTAGTGTGGGCCGACATCATGCCAAACAGGCCGGGTGGTCGTTGAATCCTAGCTTTGCAGACCACTTTCAAACGTGAATGTTATGCGTTGTTGAATTTCCTTGAATCCTTTTATTGATGTGTCAGTCCGTACGCTCTGCATTGGCCAGGCATGCGGAGTTTGCCCGTGCGATCCTTGGCAGGCAGCTGGAAGGCAACAGTCGCCGACCTCCTATCCATTACGTTGGATGCCTCCGTGAGCCTGATCAAGCAGATGTCGCCACGGCTTTGGAAGCCATGGTTTACGAGCACTGGAACAACTCCCCGACTTCACCTCCCAAATCCCGGCCATCCGAACCTGTCCCAGAGCCATCGCTGTCAATCCTCGCTTGGTCAGATCAGAGTCCATTGTTTCCAGAGTCCTTGTTGCAGAAATTTGGGCCGGGCAATCCAGCACACCAGGAAATCCTGGCCATGCAGGCTTCGTTGACCGCCGAGTTCCCGAACGCAACAGTGGCACGAAAACAATCGCAGGGTTCCAACACGGTCTCAGTTCGCGGGGCCAGGGGTGCGAGTGGCAGGCCTGATTACACGGTTGATGGTGGAGCCAAGCCGCTCAACTTCGAGAGGACGATAGAGATGACGGATCACATCCCTGTCGATTCCTTTACAGTTGAGAGGCCCGCAATTTCAAATTTGGGAGGGGCTTGGGGGGTGTAACAATGCTGAAGAAGGCGGGGTCAAGAGAACAGTAGGCTGACGTTTGTCGTGAATTCTACCGCGTGCCCCTGTTGATGCGTGTTGTGAAGCTGTGTTTTCCCATGGAGGAAAGCTTATGCTCCGGGTGGCCGTGGAAAACCTGCCGTGATTGTTGGGGAAGACTTTTCCTTCTGGCTTGGGAACGAGACGAGTGAGGAGCTCTCGCTTGTGGCGTGTGAGATTTGCGGATTCAACGTTGGTCAATTCGAGGAACGGCCAGTCGTGGGCAGCTTGGCTGTCAATAGTTTTTTTTAGCGTATCAAATCGTTGACCTTTGTTTTTGTTCTTGTTGATTTTTCTCGCCAAACCACCGCCCACAGTGTTTGGTGACCAGCTTGCCACCGCTTGTATTGAGGATTGGGGGAAGCAGAGAAGAACGGCATCCCGTTCAGGTTTGCTTCGGACCTTGCTTTGGTTTCGCACGAGAAGAAACTCATGAGCATTGCAGAGTATGCCCGCGTGTGCAGCACAGTGCACGGAGTGTCTTCTTTTGAGCTCGCCAACCACCAGCTCACCCAAAAGCAGTATGAGGTACATCGGTACATTGTTTGATTTTGCTTGGCGTTGCATCCGTCAGTTGAATTGTTTGGGTTGCGTGTTCTGGGTGCATTTGTGTCAAGGCTGGTGATGATGGGGAAGCCTTGCCAGTGCCCTACAGGTTCAATTTGAGCCCTGCCGCAAACGGAAAGTGCAATGTGTTCAAGCCGAACCCGTTGCCCGCTGACAGTGGAAGGCAATTAGCGTACCTTGCTATATATACATATTTTGTTTGATATATTTTGTATATCTTTGTTGTCCGGAAATGACTTGTCTGAAGCAGATTGAAGCAGGCAGCACAAGCTTTCGACCATTGGAGCAGCCTTTGTGGGTCACATGCCGAAAGTGCCAAAGAACAATGTCGCGAGCATCATTTGGGAGGTATCTTGATTGTTTTGTGAGCGTTGCTTTTCAGCCTGTAGTGACTCCAGATAATTTTCATAGACCGACAAGCCCTTGATGTGGCATGTTGGGATTGTGAGGTCCAATTGCAAACAGGCTCCGGAGTGGCAAAGATCATCGGCGTCAAGCCAAAGATCTATTTGACCGCCTCGCTGAAGCTGCCACCGAACACCTGGACCAAGCTGTAAGTGTGGTGTGTGCTGTTGCTCCAGTTTTGATTTTCCTTCAACACTCACTCAAATTGGCAAGAGGAGTGATTTCAACTCTGACCCTTGGAGCTGGCAGTTCGATGTGAAGAAAAGTCATGATCGGATTCACAGAACATTGATTGCATTCACCCGTAGGCAACTACTAAATTAGAATGGCCAGCTGGGTTTCCGCTGAATCAAGCCGGGCCTGACTAAGTGTGTTTGATTTTGCAACGCAGGTGTTTGGAGCTCTTGCCTAGTCGCTGCTGCTTTGTGTGAGTGTAGGAAACTTTTCCGATTGATTCAATGAGTGTGTTTGCGCCCGTGGAAAACCTGTCTGACGAAGACTCTGGCACGACGCAGGCGGGCAGACAGATTGAATGAAGGTCTAGTTTGGTTTCTTAACCTTTGTTATCAGAGTGAGTTTGTCCATCATGACATGGCGTGTGCAGGTTCTTGGCCAGCCTCCTCGTAGAAGTGCGCCTAAGGGGAAGGCGAAATCAGTGCCCAAAGCAGCTCCTAAGTCTGACGCCGCAGCTAAAGCAAAAGTCAAAGTGTTACCTCAGAAGCGACCAGCTCCAGGTCCAGGACCTGAAGAAGCTTCAGGCGGATCATCAGCAAATTCTGTGCCTGCACCTGCGGGCCCTGTTGAGCCTTCGCGTGCCCCTGTTGTAATGAGACGCCCGTCAGCTTTGAGACGACCAGCCGCGTCGGCGGTGACCATGCCTGACTCTTCAGAGTCCGCTCAACCAGAAGCTCGTGAAGGCATGCGTGGTTGAAGCTTTCGATAGGTGGGGGCCGGGGGTGTTCGACCTTGGCTTGCAGGTGGTCGTGAATCTTCAGAAGCTCACCCACAAGGCGAGTGGAGCGGACCCAAGGCACCACTAGGTTCAAAACGCAACGGAGGTAGTAGGTGTTTGATTCAATGCGCAGGCGGCGAGGCTGGCAATCGCAAAGTGGGTACAGTCTACCGGTACGGCGCTACAAACAAGTGTGCCTGCAAGCTGAACGGCAAACAGGCTTTCCAGGCAGGCTTGGGTGTGGCTCCGAGCGGTTTTGTCTTATGTGTTTTGCTTGCTTATTGCTGTGTGTCGCTTTGAAGCGGACAGGTGGGGGGGACTTGACCTCGACCCAGAGCGTGTGAAAGAGATTGCAGTCGCCCGCTTAGTAGTTCAACATCGTAAATCCACTGTCCAACTCTCTTATTAATTGCGCTGCCTGTGGAAAGTTGCAGTGACTGTTTCCAAACGCACCGTTTCACATCCAATTTTGGTGAGGCAATTGGCCGACAGCACCTTCTACGTGGTGATTCTGTGGAGTTCGTTCGCGATGCAATGGCCAGATCCTCATGTCATGACTCATCATTAAGAATCTACCAGGTTTAGTTCTGAGTTTTGAGTCGGTGATGACTTTGAGGCGGCCATGGAAAGGGAATTACGAGCGCAATCTGTGCCAGGTTGGCAGCTCATGGCCACACATGCTGAGTTCAAAGGTGTTTTTTTGGTAGGACGTTGCAGGACTATCTTCCCAATTCACTTTACAGTAGTAAGTGACTGCGCAGGTGCTGGCAACCCGAGCACCACTGAGCGTCAGAATGAGGTAGCCACTACTGAGGTTCCGAATGAGGCGGTAGCCGATGGTGAGACTGCTGAGCCTGTTGAATGCGAGGTGCCGCCAGTCCCCGGTCTCACTGATGTGGAAGACCCTGAAGAGGAAGAGCCTCGCGCAGAAGACCACGCCGTAGAGGATGTCGAGTAAACCAGCGAAGCAAGACGAGGGCTGCGAAAAAAAAGTTTCTGTGTAGCAAGGGTTTGTTTTTCGCAAGATCAAGAGCCAGCGGCTCGTTTTCGCCTTGCCTGCCACTGCTGTGTTGGGCACCCTGTGGAAAACATTAGAAAACGCACCCTATTTAGCATTAGAATTTCCAACGATATTTTTCTTTTCGAGGAAGCAGCCTTGAAGTTCTTGTTATTTTTTCCAGGGATATATTTACAGGCTTAGATAACATAATTTGATAACGTAATATGATTGGGATAATGGCTCGAGGTATGGATTGGCTTTGCAACCAATGGTCAGGGTGAGCCTGGTGTGGTGATATATTTTTGCAGGACACTCGTCTTCTTGACACTCTTTTTGTGGTAGCGGAGCGCTCATGCAAACAACTCAGACAGACTCTTCTCAGGACTCGCCTTGCGGGTCCTGAAAGTCTTGCAGGACACTCTCACAGGGACACTCTTGTGAGGAAATCGTTATGTTAGAGTTAGGCTACATCTACACCATCATTTTGGCAACCCGGATCATTTTGGCAACCCGGATACAAAAAAAACTCCTTAACAGCTGCTGGCGCAGGACAGTTTCTACTTCAGCGACGAAAAGATGTTGTCAACTTAGGTTTGTGAGTTTCTGTGATCTTTTCGCAGGACGAACAAGGATCAGCATCTCCTGCCGATTGTCTTCCAAGCAGTGCGATGGCTCCCGTCGGGGTCGCAGTCCAGGCCAGTCACACAAAGGTCATTTTTCACACCATGCAAGGCTACAGCAGCGAAATTCATTGGTAGTAACAGCTTTCTGTGTCACACGGCGTGCGCAAACCGCGCGCCAAGAAAAAAACATTACACCACTCACTCCTACATTTTCGCAACATGGACAGGAAGAAGATGCGCTGATCGCCTGCCTATATCAGGCCTTCACACAGGATTTTGCCGAACAGCTGCCGGACCATGGCTCCCGTCGTGCCTACCACATCTCAGCAGGTCCAGGTCGTGGAAAATCTTCGCTAGCGATTCGGGTGCTGCGGCAATTGTGCCTTGGCTGATCACCAGAGATGGAGTCCAAGAAGATTAAATTGCTGTTGGACAACACGAAAGACAGATTTAATGCAGTTGCGCACTCCCAAGTGTTTTGCTTTTATTTGCACTTGGCCTTCTGTCCATCGTTGTGCGCATGTACATGACTACCCTCTTGTTATTCACGGTCTTGATTGCTTGCGGTCATACGGTACATCCATCCGTCCGCAAAGGAGTTCCTGGCACGGCGCATGCCGATACCTCCTCGCAACACCTACCAAAAGTACTGCGAGATGAGTTAGCCGCAAAGATCGGCCAAGCAGGTCTTCGAATAGGTCAGGACAAAGACCACTATGACCTCCTCTATGCGCAAACGATCGAGATGCTGGAGCAGCAGCACCCAGACCTTCTGCGTAACATCGAAGACCTGGAAGCCACGCTGGAGACAAGGAGTCTGAATGAACTGCCTGCATTATATTACCATCGGTACCGATTCATTCTGTGTCCGCGTTCCTTGTTCATCGGATCGTGCCACATCCATGTGCGAAGACCCTGGGGATCAAGACACGCTTAGGCCACCAGATTTTTCCGATGAAGACCTCGAAACCCTTAGGAAAATTAGAATCATTCATCGAAATCTGGGACATCCTAGTCAAAATGTGATGCTTCGCATGTTCAGGACAGCTCAGGTTCCGGAACGAGTCATCGAAATCGCCAAACGGTTTGAGTGTGATGCTTGCAAAACGCAGAGACATAGTATCCCCAAACTTCCCGCGTGTCCCCCGGCTGTTACTGAAAAGTGGAACACGGTTTCTATTGATACCTTCTGGTGGACCAATCCCACGAGGACTTTGGAAGATGTGGATAGGTGTGTTGTGGGGATTAGCTTCATGGACGAAGCGACGGACCTTCATGTGGCTTCCATTGTTAGGGAAAACAAGAATACCCCCGGGAACCTTTCTGGTGATGAATTCATCCAACATTTTTGTCAAACGTGGTTGCGTTGCCTTCCCAAGCCCCAAAGATTGAGATGTGATGTTGAAAAGTGTTTCGAAGGAGATAAGGTGTTGAACTGGTTGGAGGAAAGTACAATTAAAATAGACATGGTTCCAGGAGAAGCACCTTGGCAGCTAGGCAAACACTCACGTCACCTACACACCTTGAAACAACAGATGAGCAAATCAGCATTCGAGCTTGTGCCGGACGTCACGAACGAGGAGATCATTTCACTGTGTCTGTCCGCCAAGCATGAAGTGCGCAATTGTAGAGGATATTCACCCAACCAATGGGCTTTTGGACAGAACTCTGAAAGAGTCTTTTCCTTTTTGGATATGTACCGCAACCTTCCGAGCATGAACGAAAGCCATCCCTCTTTTGAAGAAAACATTGAGAAGGTGGCTAAAGCTCGAGAGATTTTCATTCAATGTGACAGTGCAAAGCGCATCAAACGAGCCGCATTGCACCAGAGTCGTAGAAATCAGCACTTTGAAGTGGGAACCCTCGTCTTCTACTACCGAAAAGGTAGAGGAAAGGGGGAACGGCCTCGAGGACAATGGTATGGACCCGGACGCGTTGTGTGTATTGAGAAAACGACGGAGAGCGAAAGGGGTCGAGAAGGTTCAATTGTTTGGATCACGCATGGAACTAGGCTGCTTAGATGTGCACCTGAACAACTTCAAAGAGTATCTAGAGATTTGAATGCGATTGATTTTGAGTTGAGAGAAAGCAACCAGCTTGAAGACTTGATCAAAACGAAGAAACAATACTTTGATTTGAGAAACGAAGCTCCGGATCTTGAAGTTGAAGTGCATGAACGTGACGACCTTGCTTGGCGCGTAGATCCTCATCACCTTGAGTTTGAACATGATACTTCTCGTGGCCCGGATCAAGCCTTGAAGAGACAGAAGCTCCTTGGGAAACAATCGGTTGACCCTCGTGTGCTCGATAGCATTCATGTCGAACCGGTCCGTGAATCTCGACCTGATGAAGAAGTTGAAGGCTCTGGAAGGGATTCCAAACCAGGAGCCATGCGAAATGTCTCGAAGAGCTCCAGGACCTGAGCCTTACCATCGGCAAGCACAAAGGGGAGAAGTTCCTCGACGTGTGGGAGAAAGACTACTCCTACGTGAAGTGGACGGTGGCCCATGTGAACCCCACAGAGGGATGGAATCATTGGCTCCATTTCGTCGACCTGATGGCCGAGAAGATGATGAAAGAGCAAGGATCAGGGAGTCGAAAGACAACCAAAGCCGGAAAAGAGACGAAGACCGAAGGCTACAAGACCCCGAAGCCAAAAGATTTCGCAAAAGCCAAAGCTCAGGCATCCTCGAGCCTGTCGAAAGAGAAGACACCCGAGATCGAGACCGACAACGAGAGCGAGATCGAATGGAACCTCACGACATGTCATCCCGGAGATCACGTTCGAAATCAGCTGGACCAGACGATGGACGGTCTCCAGATGCTGGGCCAGCGCATGGCCCAGATGGAAGCCGTGATGTCGCGAGTGGTTTCCCATCTCGAGAAGAACGCAGGAGTCGAACCCCTCCACCAAGTCACTTGGAAGAAATCTTGTTTAACGCTCAGGAAACTAAGTGTAATGGTGTGGAAATCATTTTGAATTTGAGTGCTCGAGATGTTCACCTCGATCATCGTGGCAAGGGTTGCTGGGTTGTGAACGCTAAAGCTAAGAGAGGAGCCGAAATCCAGTTTAAACAATTGTCTGAAAAGGAGAAACAGGAATTCCTTCAGGCCAAAAAGAAGGAAGTTGATAGCTATATTGAAAACATGGCTGTTTCAATTGCTCACTCTCAAGGGGGTGATCCCCGTCGGATTCTTGGAATGCGATGGGTTTTGGTTTGGAAAAACATCACAGACGAAGACGGTGTGGTGACAGGTCAGAAGGCCAAGGCACGCTTGATTGTCAAGGGTTTTGAAGACCCTGATTTGCTCAAAGTTCCGAGGGACGCTCCCACACTTTCAGTGTTAGGAAGAAATCTCATTTTGAGCATTTGTTCCATGAGAAACTGGAAGTTATCTTTAGGGGACATCGAAACTGCCTTCTTGAATTCCGATCCCACTGAAGAGAGCAGGGAAATCTATAGTGACCCACCTAAGGACGTGAAAGACATGTTGGGCATGAATGAAAAACAACTGTTCAGGATTCGAAAGGCCCTTTATGGACTTTTAAATGTGCCTCGTAGGTGGATGGAAAAACTATCTCAGGAACTCAGGAAACTAGGTTGGATTCCATGCGCCCTGGACAATTGCGTGTGGCGTCTTTTTGATGGAGATCGGCTGACCGGTGTCCTGGGCATCCACATGGACGACGTGGTATGTGGTGGCGAAGGACACGTGTATGATGAAAGTATAAAGAGATTGCAAGCCGTTTTTCCTTTTGGCTCTTGGAAAGAACCCAACAAAGAAAAGGTTGTTTTCTGTGGGTGCGAACTGAGTCAAGATCAAAACGGGATTCAATTGAAACAAGAAAGATATGCACTTGGGATCAATGAAATCAATCTTAGCAAAGAACGAAAGCAATCTCTAGAAGATGATGCTAGTCCAGATGAGAAGAAGGCTCTTCGAGGACTTTTGGGCAGTCTTGCCTGGCGAGGCACTCAGACTGCACCGTGGATCTTAGCTTCAACATCGATATTGCAAGGACACCAAAACACAGCCAAAGTTCAGGACCTTCTACATGCTAATAAACTTTGTAGACTTCAGAGAGCTCATTGTGAACTTGGTTTGACTTTTGCTAGAGAAATCCACGAACCGCTGTTCCTTACGTTCACGGACGCGTCGCATGCAAACAGAGCTGACTTGTCCTCTCAGGGAGGAACTCTGACATTCCTTACGGATCGCAAGGTTCTCAAAGGCCATAAGGCACCGTTCAGTTTGGTGGCTTGGCGCTCAAGAAAACTGAAACGTGTTGCTAGGTCTTCGACTTGTGCCGAAATTCAATCATGTGGAAACGGCGTTGACGAAAATGAGTTTGTGAGACAAATGTGCATGATAAGGAAGGGATCAATTCGAAAACGACGGACTCGGCCGTGGCGAGCATAGGTGGATGTATGGTTTGTGACGCTAAAAATATGTATGACTCCATCACCCGAATTTTGTCCTCCGGTTTACAGCTTGAAGAAAAGCGACTTTGTTTGGACGTGCTGTCCATTCGGGAGAGTTGCGAGAGAACCCAAACTGGTTTCCGATGGGTTGATTCTGATCAAATGTTTGGGGGTGATTTGACGAAGATGTTCTCTGTTGACAAGCTGATTGTTCTTTTGAAGAATGGCCACATAGGTGTAATCTTCAATCCTGAGTTTGTGTCGGCTAAGAGGAAACGCATGCTGCGGACGAAGAATCAGCTGAGTTGGAAGCAAAGAGAAAACGAAAGCCGCGTAGAATTTGTGATGGCTTGCCTTCCAGCTCATGTCTTGAAGTGATGACCGAAATCACCAGCTCAAGAACGGGCTGTGCGCGGATCGCCATGTGTGGAAAACCTTTGTTTTGAGAGCTGCTCATAGAGCCACGATCGTCGCGTGGTGGCTTGATTCACTAGCGGTTTCTTCTTGCAACCTGGTCTTGTTTGACCACCAGTATCCATCCGGCCCCTACCAGTGTCGGGGCCAACTCGAAAGGTATCGCCTCCTGAAGGCGGCCAAGTTGAGCCAGGCCGAACGACAGCGCGTCCTGACCTTGACCCGGAACTCCACGCACTTCAACCAGATCAGACAGGCCTTGAGATCTTTGTTTGCTGATGGTGCGGATCAAGCTGATGATCATGGACGGCTGCCTCGCAGAACAGCTTGGTTCAACGAGGATGTGAACGACTGGGAGGCCGAGGAGGACTGGTGGCCTAGTGAATCTGATTGGTGGTCAGAAGACGCGTATTGGAATGACTGGTCTCCGGCCTACTGGGAAGAAGACTACACCACGGAGTTTGAGTTCGGTGACGGTCAACATCCGGGAGAAGATGAAGGACATGATCCAGCTCCAGAAGAACTAGAAGGTGAGAAAAGGCTGGAAGAGGCCTACACCATCGCAGCTGAGGCCAACAAGACCCTAGCTGAGGCGAAGATGGCCGTCGCCAAGGTCCGAGCAGCAAGGGGCTACTACAGTCCGGTCGGGATGAAAGGAGGACCTTCTGGTAGCCTTGGCGGAAAGGGCAAAGGCAAGGGCAAGTCAGCCTTTGGAAAAGGAAAGGGCAGCGGATCAGCTGGGCTGGGACCGTGCTTCATCTGCGGTCAACACGGACATGGCTACGCCAAGTGCCCTGACAGGTGGTCTCGCGGGTCTTCATCGGGGAGAACGTCACCGACATCTTCGCCTAAAGGATCTCTGAAGGGTTTCAAGGGCAAAGGAAAAGGCGGTGGCAAAGCTCGGAAAGGCGGAAAGGCCTTCTGGATCGACTTCAACCCGGAGTACCCGTACTACGAGATCAACGTCATGAGCCTGGCGGAGGGCAAACGAACCTTGGAGAGCTGTCGCTGACCAAGGCGATCATTGACACTGGAGCCACGGAATCATTCGATCCATGTCCCGGCTGATCGACTCAGGTCACTTTCTCGACATCTCGCTGGACACGAGACCGAGGTTCCGCTTTGGCAATGGTGAGCATCAGCGAGCGGTGTCCAAGTGCCACGTGACCACGAGTGCCATGGGTGGCATGGAGTTCTTCCTGCTGGATGGAGGCGCAGAAGACACGCCCCTCCTGATCGGCTCACGGATCCTTCGAGCACGGAGAGCGATGGTGTCGTACCATGGAGACTACCTCGCACATCGAGGAGGTGACGGACGCTGGTGGGTCAGCCAATTGTGGTCCGCGCCGGGTGGTCATCTAACCATTGACCTGAGCCAGCACAAGTTGCCCATTGAGTTCCTCCTCAAGCGGTTCAGCACAAACCCGAGCGCGCGATGGTCACCAGAAGACGATCAAGGAGGTGACTCTGATCCTGGAGGAGAACCTCCACCATGGAAGAAGAGAGCCACCCGCGGCAAGGGAGCCAAGCGTGATCCAACCGGACGTGTGCTGGCTGGACCGACTGTTGTCCCTCTCAATGCCCCAGAGGAATACGATCAGATGGAAGAAGAACGAGAGCAGAGGGATGACGAACGTCAAGAACAACATCTGAGAGCCGCCGCTTTTCTCCATTCGGGTGCTGCATCAAACTACACCCCTTCTGTGCCAGAACATCTAATTGATGAAGGATCTGGCAAACGTCCGGACCCCACTGGGGAAGAGCCAGGAGAAGAGGAAAAGGATTCGGATGTGGTGATCGAGCGAGGATTCCAGGCCTCGTGAGATAGAATCAACTGCTGCAGAAGAGCATGCGCATGAAGCGCATGGCAGTCATGTACACGGAGAAGCGCATGCGCATGAACATGGTGCAGTACATGAGCATGGCCATGAACCTGAAGAGGAACACGATCTTGTAGAACACCATGGGGGTTGTCAGTCTGCTGTTTGTGGTGGTTGAGCGCTGATGGTGATGCAAGAAGAGAACGCCAATGATTTGTCCGACCGCCTCAGCAAGCTGGCTCAGCGACTCGACGTGAATGAAGACATGTCCGCCGTCAACGGACCAGGGCCATGTCGGATGGCCATGCATGGGGCATCACGTGCCTGGACAGCAGCGGACCAACAAGTACGCGGCCTGGCAGGCATGCAATCACTGTGGCCTGAGACTCCGATACACTATGAAGGGCGTTGGGACCGGAGACAACCGGGCCATTGGACCTCCACCCGACCAAGTCGAACTCGCTCAACAGGAGCTCATGGAGTCCTTCCCTTAAGGCACACGAGGTCACGGAGAAGATCTTCAACGGCAAACTCCAGCTGGAGATCAGAGGCCGCGCTGTGGTGGAGACGCATGGCCGCGGCCGGACGACTGTTCAAGTCCGAGCCAACGAAGCCCTGCAAAAGGCATTGATGGCAGGAGCATCACGCTCACCGGCCAAGGAGACTGTGAAGATGACGCCGTACCCCAAGGCGGTGTCTCCTCTTCGCCAGAGCCCGCCGAAGCCATCGACCAAGACAGGACCCGACGACCTCAAGAGTGTGAAGACGGAGGAGGCAGCGCCATCTCAGCGAGCAGCAAGTCCGATGAGTGTGAGCTCGCGGGTGTCTTCGGTGGCCATTATCAACGAGGCGGAGTTCGAACAGGTGAAGAAGGAGCTCCAGGAGGCGAAGGCCAAGATCGACGAGCTGGCGGCAGAGAAGAAGGTGAAGAAAGAGGCCACTTCGGCCGAGTGAACTCACGGAGCGAACGCCCGAACAATGGGATGCCTTCCTGAAACGTCGTGGACGAGACCTTTCCAGGTGTGATGAGATCGCTCGAGGACTGGAACCCATCATTTCATCTGGCAACGACATTGCCAGGTATACTCCAGGATGGGGATCCCGAGCAATCAAGAGACTGGTTTTCTCCATCCGGCGGCATGGACGAAGTGTTTACTGGATCCGGGTTTGATGGCTGCGCCTATGGTTTGGAATTGCCAGGACTTGGGGTTCCGGAGGTAGTCCAGGAGGTTCGCCATGTCCTTCTTCAGGGAGTAGCGCGGGCGTGGTCTCTTCGCTCGTGCCGATGGGAACCTCAAGGAGATAGGCCTCGACGGACTTTTCCAGTCCGTTCTTCTCTTGCTGCCATTGGTGTGCCATGCCCTTGACCACATCCTTGCATAGCGCGTTTGGATAGTAGCTTGAGGCCTCTGCTGCCTGTCCTCGACATTCAGCATGTTCATGGGACCGATCGCATCGCTTGTTCAAGGTCAGCCAGAGGTCCCAACCTGGTGCAACTCCTGAAGGCAAGAGGATCCCCGGGCTGGGCATTGGAGATAGCCAGCAAGTTGGAGTGTCCCGAGTGCAAGGAGGCCTCGAAACCAAGACCTAGCCCATCTATGAGCATCTTGGAACAGATGTCTTTGAACATGAGGAGTCAACTGGCGTGAAGCACAATGCTGATTCTCTGGCGAGATCGTGGTTCAGGCCTGACGATGATCGACCATCTCCAACGATAACTCTGATCAGGGCAAAGGTGAACCAGATCCGGCCCACTTCACGACGAGAGGAGTTGGATGCATCACTGGAGGGCACTGCTGTATACAAGAATCCAGTGTCCTTTGAGGCGCTGATGAGGAGCTTCCAGGGTCGCTACTACATGGACATTTCAGGTGATGTCCCAAGTGAAGAACTTCAACGAGGTGACCTCTCAGCTTCTACTCCACTTCTTGAACCTCGAGGACAACATGGAAGCGACACTTGGTCAGTGAAGTGGCATGAAGGCAAACGATACCTGGTGAAACACCATGAACTTCCACGACTTGCTCTTTTCAATCCAGGTCGAGCAACCCACTGCCCAGTGAAGATCGAGGACCTGGCGGGAAGCAGACGCACTGTTGTGCGCCCTCTGCATGGCGGTGACGAGGTGACCATCCACGACACGATCGATGAGACCAGAAACCTCCAAGATAGATGGAAGGGAGAAACCTGGTTTGAACTGGTCCCAGAAGTTCCTGCTAAGAGACAGCGTGTGAGAAGAGCCAAAGGTGAGAAGAGAAAGGCCGATGATGATGGCTCTCCTGAGGAGAAGAAGGATGACAAGATGACCGCCGACATGGATGAGGCACCAGAGATCCCGGAAGGTGCAACTTCATCTTCATCGGGCCTGAGGACAGCACTTCAAGAGCGTGGACCCGACGCTGTGGACAATCTGCCACTCAGAGGCCAATCGGGAGCCAACAGGTGTCCAGTGCCAGAATGTGATTTACCAGGTGGTCACTACGGGCATCATCAAGACCGAGATGGCCAAACATTCCTCTACGACCTCTACGAGGCAAGGCGAGCACCGACTGGAGCTGAAGTCCCCGTACCTGAAGGTTCCTCTTCGTCTTCTACATCTTCAATCTCGGAGCCCGAGGATCTGTCCTCCGGCAGCGAAGAGCTGATGATGGTTGACGGCGATTCCAAGCTACCGGCAAATCCAAGCCGGATGAAGAGGAAGAAACCTCCAGAAGAGACTTTTGTGGCGTGCTCCTTTGAGGTGAACGAGAGTGACGTCGCACGGCTGAGCAAGAACAAGGGTCGCAAGAGAGGAGTCGTGTTGAGCAAGAAGATGTCCGAGAAGGGCAAAGAAGTAGAATGGCAGCGACTCCCACTGCGTGAGAAAAAGGAATACGACCTAGCCATGGCAAAAGAGCTCTCGCAGGTGGCCATCAGCAGAGCGCTGCGGAATCTGACCGCCCAGGAAGAGATGAAGGTGACTCCCGAGCAGCTGATGAAGATGCGCTGGGTGCTGACGCGCAAGAGCGATGGGTCTGCAAAAGCCCGCTTAGTGGCGCTAGGCTTTATGGCACACAATTTGACAGAAGTGGCCACGGCTTCGCCAACTATGTCCAAGGTTGGCCGCAACCTGATCCTCGTTGGCCGCCAGCCTGAAGTTCAAGGTAAAGGACGGTGATGTGACGAGTGCCTTTCTGCAGACTGGCATTAGTTTGGAGGATGAGGAGCTGAATGTCCTGGCGCCACCAGAGCTGAGCGCGATGTTTGCCTTTCAGGTGGACAGCAGAAGGCTCTGAGAGTTCGAGAAGCTTTCTACGGCCTAGCCCATGCTCCCCGAAAATGGTGGGAGCGCTGTGTGAAGACGATGGTGGAGGCCGGATGGCGGCAGTTGCTGAGCGACAAATGCTGCTTTGCGCTCTACGAGCCCGAGTCCATGACTGGAGATCAGCAGCCGAAGCTGATCGGTTTGGCTGGACTGCGCGTCGATGATTTTCTGCTTTGTGGCGCAGAGACTTCCGAGCACTTCAGGTCACGTGAACGCCTTCTGAATGAGGCCTTCCGTTGGGGACGATGGAACGAGGACAATTTCGAGTTCGCTGGATGCACCATCATCCAGAACAAGGACTACTCCATCCTGAACCAAGAGGTGTACACGAACAGATGGATCGAGGAGATCAACGTCGACAAGACGAAGGCAAGAAAGACCCCACTGAACGCGGCCGAGATCTCATCCATGAGAGCCGCCCTGGGGACAGTTTCCTGGAGGGCGACGCAATCGGCGCCGCAGTTCCTGGCAGAGGCATCGCTCCTCCTGAGCGAGATCAGCAAGGGCACCGTCGAGACCCTCTACAAGGTCAGCAAGTTGGTGAGAGAAATGAGGCGAGAAGCCGGGCAGGGACTTCTTTTTCCCTCAAGCTGGAGCATCAAGGATGTGAGCGACTTGGCAGTCATCACATGGGCCGACGCAAGCCAACACAACCGCCCCGACAAGAGCAGCGCGGTTGGCATCATCGCCGGACTGACGGTGAAAGAGGCTCTGGCAGGTGAGGAGGTGCAGATTGCTGTGGTTCAATGGAAGAGCGGCAAAACGCCGCGGCAATGCCTAGGCTCGAACGGAGCCGAGGTTCAGGCCATCACCGTTGGCGAAGGCGAAGACCAGAAATTCCAGATTCGCATGATGGTGGCCGAGTTTGGAGGCTATGAGGTGAAGAGAAGCTTTGTCCACGAGACGGCAAGCCTGGTGCGCTGGTGATGGACAGCCGAGGCATCTATGATGCCATGACCCGCAACATCAGCAGCCTGCGCGGCCTTCGAGACAGCCGAGCAGGATACGAGCTGACCTTGGCCGTCAACCAGGCCTTGAAGGCAGCGACCGAGCTGAGGTGGGTGAACGGCTTGGCGCAACTTGCTGACTCCCTCACCAAGTATGGGGCCCGAAAGACCCTACTCCAGTTTTTCAGCCAGAAGCAGTACTGGAGGCTGGTACACGATGAGAAGTTTGAAGCTGGCAAGAAGGTGCGCAAGCGCGCCATGGAGCAGAAGCTTCGAGAGATGCAAGATGCCTACGTGGCATCACTGAAGACCATGGCCCAGAAGAACAACTGGCCGTGGGATTTTGGCTGTGAAGAACCAGCCTATGACATCCTCAGCTGAGTCCAAAAAGGGCCACGAGGATGGTAGTGATGCAAGGATAGCGTCACGACATGTCCCTTTTTGCGCTTCACCCCTGACCATAGCGGCGGGGCTCGAGCAGCGAAGCCAAAGAGGTTGGCGCGCGACCGCGCGAGGGTCCTATACGTGGACCGCGTTCGTCCTTCGCATAGGACTGTTTGCGCTAGTAGAATCAAGAAGCTACTAGTAACAAGTGCATCACTTCTAGTAACAAGTGCCTTACTACTAGTAACAAGAAGCTAGTAGGAACAAGAAGCTACTAGTAGCAAGTGCATCGCTTCTAGTAACAAGTGCCTTACTACTAGTAACAAGAAGCTAGTAGAAACAATAAGTTACTAGTAACAAGTGCATCG